TTCTTCTTACAATACGCTCTTTTACAAATGACTCGTCGTTCGTTTTTCTCATTATAGTCCCTCGAAAAATACTTTGTACTTATGATCGCGTCAACGATAAAATTTCACATACACATACATCGAAGCCGTAAAAATTGGGTCTTCCTTAAACGCCATCGATACGATAAATTTTTATGCTTTTGGGACGATGTAAAATAATATTCACGTATTATATAGTAAGCGAAAAGAAAAGAAAAAATTATTTAAAAACATTAGTGAATGATTCTTAAAAAAAAATAATAATAATAATAAATCAGATAAAAACACATAGGTCGAATTGTGATAATTGAAATATATATATAAAAAAAAAAAAGGAGAGATTTTCGTAGAGACGAAATGTATCGAAGGAGAAAATTAAAAGAAAAATATAAAAGAACATGAATATACATTCGGCTTGATATAGAATTTCCTATTATCTCTCGTCTTCGCATACGCACTTATAAATCCATAAAGACAACACATCACTCTTGCTCATATTACATACTACATTTAAACGCTACACGCTATGTACATCAAAAAACGTATACTTAAGCTACTCTGGGCGTTCGGGGGTTAGCCTAAAAAGTAATATAATACAGGACACGCTGTCATTCGTACTCCCTCCGACGATTACGCGGTATATATAACATCTTTGGACTCGATTTATTACACATTTATAGAGAATTATTACTTATGACCGTAAATTTCTCGCGCCTAGTCTCTCTTTCTCTCTCTGAGTAGCCGCTACGTGAAACTCGACGTGGCACCTTTGTATCGGACCAACATTTCTCATCCAGTCTGATACAAATATTATATTCTATAATCGGTATGTCTTTTCTCGTCTTTGTTTTCCTTCAAAGTTTCCTTCTTTGAATAAGATATTACATACTCTTTTTTATTCGTTTGGTGCCCTCGTAGAATTCTAACGGGCGTAGCTCGAGATTCTAAACTTCTCTTCTCTGTTTCCACCCTTTTTTCTTCTTCTTCTTCTTCTTCTTCTTCTTCTCATTTTCTTTATTATTAGTTCTGGAAGACGAGCGCTTCTTTCCTCTTCCTCGAAACGCGTTCTTCTCCAAAAGAGTTCCTTTAAATCCCGCCTGAGAATCGAGAACTCTCCGGCAATGAAAGCACTGTGCGTGTGTCGATTATTTTTGCATTTCGTGCGTGCACCCCGTTGGTCTTCGAGCGAATTCCTCGGTACAGTTTTTGCCTCGTACGAGAACCCGATTGAAAGAGGGTTGCACGTCTCGAGAATCGTTTTTGATTCCTTTTGATAAGGGAATCGTCTAACACGTGGCACGACGAACATGTTCCTCTTGGTCGTGGGAAAAGAAGAATAGGGATGAGTCCTCGCATGTCTCGTGAATCATTTTAAACTGCTGATACTTGGGCTGATTCTTCGTCGTCTGAAAAATCGTTAGATTGGGATTAACGATGATTTTTTTTTTTATTTTTTTTGGAGTTATAGAGTAAATATACTCCCACGAGATTTGTCTACCTTGGCTGAATCTTTAAATTTTTATACCGTTTTCAATACCTACTATGTTTGATTTATAACTTGTTATTTTATTTTTCTCCAGTAGTATAATTAAAAAAAAAATAAGATTAGAAATAGAAAGAGAATAAATTATTTGAAAATTGTATTACACGAAATTGTAATTTTTGAATTTTGGATGGAATGTTTTTTTCTAAAACTATGAATATTACGAATTAAAGGTGTAAAATGAATTATACTATATATTTTTCTATATTTATTCTTATTTCTTCATCTATTTTTCTAACTATATCATCTAAATACGTGAAATCTATCAATGCATAGATTTTGTACAGTAAACTACAATTTCAATGGCGACTAGCATAAGAAAACTCTTAGAGAGAAAGAATCGAAATAAAAATCAGGAATCAGAAATAAAAATTATATTCGCCAAAGTAGACGTTCTTATTTGAAAAGAAGCAAAGAATTACATCTATCAAATATTATCGTAGAAAAACTATCTGTAAATAAATCTATAAGAAAACTATTTATTCGAGGAGAGATTTAAATATAATTGAAATTTAAATGAAGCATACAAACAGTACAGTAATTTCTATTAGTAAGTTACTCTGTGTGATATTCTATAAATTCTGTAATTTTGTATATATAATAAATTTTTATGATAGCCAATAAAAAATAAAATTCGCAAAAATGTGACGATTGGTTTTATTTGAATTTCAATTAATTTTAAATCCCTCCACGTATATATATTCATATGAAAATCAAATCGAATAAAAAAGGATCGTGGAGTGACATGACGTGCAAATAGAAAAAAAAAAAAAAAAAATTG